AGGAGGAATGGGGGAGGAAGTGGGCTGTAACTTTCAAATGACCCCCTCTCCACCCACACTCCCCTGCTGAGCAGCCTGGGGAGAGAAAACCTGGCATCAGCTCCCCTAGCCGCCTGTGTCCTGCACCCAGGGGGCCCTGCCCTCAAACTCCCCGGAGCTTACCCTCGTCCTGTCCTGTGAATTTTCCACCCCATCCCCAAGTCAAAGTCATTAGATTTAATCATTAACAGGGCGGGTGTTCATTAGCAGGGCAGGGTGATCATCCACGCTGCTGAGGACACAGCTGGACATCAAGAACAGCTGCTCACACAAGGGTGGGAGGAACTGAACCTGGCTGGAAAGAGGCAGGGGTGCCTGCCCCCAACTCTGGAAGCTTTGAAATCCCCATTTCTTCATCCCTGGTTTTTCCAGAGTCAAAAGAAACATCTGCTAAGGTGAATTCCTCCCTAGTCATGTCTAGTTCTCAAGTGTTTCAGTGGGTGCTGGGCCCTGAGCTAGGCTCTTTACGGACATTACCTCAGTCCACCCCTCACTACCTTAATAGCCGGGCCTGCTATTTACAAGTGAGGTCACTGAGACGCAGAGGTGTTGAGTGACTTGCCCAAGGTCACACAGCTACTGAGTGGCAGAGCTGGGATTGGAACCCGAGCAGACTGTTCTGGAGCCTCGGTTGCCAGGCTGGAAGGAGCTGGCGGGGAGAAAGTATGCATCCAAGCAGTCAGAGGTCAGGCTGACTTTCTTCCTCCATGTGCCTCATTCTTATACTTCCACTTCTTAATAATGTATAATTGCTTCATCATCAATTATAATTACTTCGTCATCCTATGCCACACTGACCCCTACTCGTCTGTAAGATAGAGTGGACACAGACTGTACCTGTTTTGTGCTCCACTGAATCCCCAGTGCTTCACACAAAGCCTGGCGCATGTGGCCACCCAACAAGCACTGGTTAGAAGAATAAATTCAACCTCGGAGGAAGCTTGGGGTGAAAGGGGACAGCTGGAGGATTGGGTCTTCTAGACGGGTGATGATCATAGGGTGACAATGCACCACAAGAGGTGCCCTGGCCCCTGCCCTTGCTTCAGTTCAGCCACTGCCCTGCCATGGCCACCAAATCTGGTGGGAAAGTGTTAACATGGGTTCGAGTCCTTGGGAGAGCTGCTTTCTCTCTCTTGGCCTCAGTCACCCCTCTCCAACTGGTTGGATTGGCTGGTTTTTAAGTCTCTTCCACCTCTACCAGTTTGTGGCTCAGGAAGAGGCAACGCACTTTGGAAATGAGCATCTCCTCTGTTTGAATCACCAGCTCTGGACCCATTCCCGAGAGTGCCAGCTGCGGGAGGGTGCACACCCCAGCCTGGCAGGGTTCCACGATGGGCTTCTTATCAGGCAAACCAGGACTTACACAGTCAGAGGAGGCCGGGCCTCCCAAGGCAGCCCTGAGAGGCCACACATCTACGCTAACGTTGCTGTTGGGCCCACAGGAAGCGCTGGACACTCTGGCTCAGAGGCCTTCTGGGCGGGCCTTGGAGGCCCCGGGGACACAGACCATCCCTGCAGGTGCCCACACCCCTGGCTCAAATCAGGTTCCGCTCCCCACCTGGCCTCCTTCCTTCACACGACGTGGCCCCAGAAGACTCACTTGGTTTCCAGAAGAGCCACGCCCCCCTGAAGGACAGACATGCGCTGCCCATGAGGACTCACAGCATGTGCCACAGGCTCTGAGATGGTTCCAAGAGTTTCCAGAAATGCTGGAGCAACAGCAGCAAGTTGGTATGAATACATAGTCCTCAGGGGGGCCGCTGAGACGGACCACTGCTCCTAGGGGTGGGGTCCTCGGAGCTGTGCAGGCAGAAAGTGTGTGCATCTTGTATTCAACACGCGGGAGTGCACCCCGCCACGGGAGCCAGGCAGGCAGAAATGCAAAGGTGGAGGTAAGGGCCCAGACTCCTGGGGTCTCACCCTGGTTCTGAGACTTCCTCGCTATGAAACTGGAGCTCCCCACTCAGGATGCAAACTATTAGAACAGGAAGAAACCCGTGCAGTCATCCGGCTCCCACTTCTTACAGGAGAGGAAACTGAGAGCAGTGTGTGCGCGTTGGGGGCGGGAGGGAGTGATCACCCCAGCATGGCCCAGGCCGTTGGTAGCACAGGGAGAAAGTGGACTCTGACCTCCCAAATCCCAATCCAGGAGGCCCATCCAGTATCACCTTTCTCCAGGACTCTGCCTTTAAAAAGCAAAATAAAGATCCTACTCCCTGCCCTCCTTCCTGGTGGGCTGTGAGGATCGGTGAGAAGGCATGAGGAGGCTGAGGGGGTGGGGAGGATAGATAATAAAAGCAGGAAGTGCTGAGAGCAACAGGAGCAGCCTGTTAGCCCAGGGTCTGGCTCCCAGGGCAGCGGCAGGTGGGAGCTGCTAAGTGGCTGCACCACGGAGTCACATCCCTGTGACCTTGAACGTTGCGTGGATCCAGAAGTGTACTGTACAGACCAGCTACCACTCCTCCGGGGGGGGGGGGGGGGGGCAGCGGGGGACATCAACGCCTGCACACGCGAGCACCCCTCGCACGGGCCTTTGCAAGCCCGGGGACCGGGCTGGGCCAGGTGGGCTCCAACTCTTCCACGTCCCAGGAAGGGCTCCGGGAGCAGGCACCGTGCGCTCTGCAGCTCCCCGACCCTGTGGAGCAACCCACACCTTCCCACCCACCAGCCCAACAGACACTCAGTCACTCACGCAGCTCTTGGCATAAAAACGTCAAACCGGCACACTCACGCCTTCACAGACAGACCCGTGACGGCTCACATGGAGACCCCGGCACCAAAGGCTGCAAACCACCACCCGCCACCTCCCCGCTACCCGTCAACGCTTTGCCACCCACCCCCGGCCTCCTCCAGAAGCCAGCACCCAGAGCTGTCTCCCTCCCCCCTCCCCCTCCCTGCTCTCACCTCCTCTGCTTCCACCCCAGTACCAGCTGCTCCGGGGACCCCTCTTCCCGCGCGGTCCTCCATCAGTCACTCTTCCCAAAGCCTGGGCTCTCCCTGCCCCTCTCCTGACCCACAGCTTTGGGAGCAGAGAGTTTGAGCAGAGACTCTGGAGCTTGAGGAAGCGACATGAAGAATGGTGTGGGGTTTGGGAGGAATTTCTATGGCCAGGCCGCGTTTGGGAGGAAGAAGGGACGATGCAAGAGGCCTGGGCAAACTGGATGACTGTGGCGGGTGCGGGAGGTCTTATGAGAGCTGGCAAGGTCTCTCTCCTAACTCCCCTGCCCTTCCAGGAGATAACGAGACAAGAAAAACAGCAGCTATCTATTGATGGAGGGCCCCGTGTGCCGGACACCTTACCGCATAGCAAACGCAACCCTGACAGGTAGGGACTCTCCTGTCCACTGCCTCAGGGAGGACATCGAGGCCCCAGAGATAAGGCCGTGGGAATTCAAGTTCCAGGGTCCTGGTGGAAGGGGAAGGGAACAGACAAGTCGTTTATTTGAAGGACACTTTGGACCCTGCTCTGTGCATGTGCGCTCAGGAGGTGGGAGAGTGGGAAGGAAGTCGGAGCAGCTGTATCTCCCGCTCCATCTTTCTCTTGGCTTCCTGCCTCACCCCCCTCCCTTTGCTGTTGCTTCTAGGGAGTGGGTAGCAATTGGCCAGAGAGGGGCTAAGGACTCCAATCAGCCGTTGCCCAGGCCGGCCCTGCTATATCAAACAGAGAGCAAGGGAACCCTGCAAACACAGGCTGGGGGGGGGGGGGGGGGTCCTGGCATCCAAATGACAGCAAAACAGAGCTAGTTGACAGCAAATGGAAGTCTGGCTGGCCCACTGGGCCCCGATAAGCCCAGCATTGCCCTGAGAAAACTGAGCTGGGCCTGGCATGTGTCAAGTGATATGGCGGGAGGGGGGGGGGGGGGCTGCCCAGAGGAGGTTATTTTGGGAGGTAACAGGGGAAGGGACTATGTGAAATCCAGGCCAAAGAAGGGCTGCCTGGGAGAAGAGGCACCTGAGGGCTACGTTGACCCTTTGCAGGAGAGGATGGCCATGGGGTCCCCAGAGAAGCAGGCATGGATTGCATGGTGTTTTCTAGTTGCTGGGTTTAAAGTGAAAGAAACAGATCTCTGGCCCTGGTCCCTGCTGGGACCTTCCCTCAGAACTCCCTGTCCCACCCCTCCCCACCTCAGTCCTTCTCCTCCCCCAGAACGTCCAGCCCTCCCCTCCCCAGTGTCCCAGCCCCTCTCCCCTATCTATCCAGTGACCCCAGGCCTGGCAGAGTGCCCACAGCAGACTAGTTCATATTCTGCCACTAGCGACGGCGGGAACCCAGGCCATCTGTACATAGCGACCGGGCCCCACCCCGGGAGTTTCCCTCTCCATCCCCCAGCATCCTCTCCTCGCAGGCCTTTCACCTGCTTTCCCATCCCCACAATTTAGCAAGCAGAAACAGAAATCTGTTTCACAAGCACTCTTGGCTCGCCACCCCCGTTTCTCCTTCTGCTGAGTCCCAGATGGTCCTCTCTCCCCGGCCCTGTACCCACTGCCATCAGCACTGGGAGAAGGGGCTCTGGGCTCCGGAAAGGGTGTTCGAGGCCCCTTCCCTGCCGCCCAGGGAGCACAGGGCCTGCGCCCACACCCACACCCCCACTCCAGGTTTCCCCCTCCGCCCTAGTGTCTCCTCTGCAGGGAAAGTCCCTGTCCACGTCTAGCCTTAATCCTTCCTGCTGCAAACCTAAGCCCCCTTTTCCTTCTCCGCTTAGGAGACAACCCCCTTTCTCTGTGAGAGGAAGTGGAATCTTTCGCCGTTTGCAGGGCCCCTCCACCTTCCCAGCCCTAAAACCTGCCAGCCGGGCTGGGGGAAGTTCTCGGGTGCTGCTCTCCACCCCCGCCCCCCTCCCCGCCCAGAACTCCGGGGACACCTGCACACCCCGCCCCCCTCGGGGTGGGGACCCCCGCGGCCAGCGGCGCAGCCACGACGGGGTTAAGGCCGGGGGCCGGGGAAGGGAGGGAGGGGGCTGTGAGGGGCGGTGCGGAGCCAATAGGCGGCTGCAGAGTCCCCGAGGCCGCGAGCCGGGAGCCGGGAGCCGGGAGCCTAGCGCCGGGCTGGGGCCGGGCCGGAGCGGAGCGGAGCCGAGAGCGAGCGCGCCCGCCCCAGCCCCGAGTCCCGCGGCCGCGCGGGCCGCCGCCCAGCCATGGAGCCGGACAACAGCCCCCGGAGGATCCAGTTCACCGTCCCGCTGCTGGAGCCGCACCTGGACCCCGAGGCGGCGGAGCAGGTGCGGACAGGGCGGGGCGGCGGGGGGCTCGCCCAGCCGAGGACGAGGGACCCCCCTGAGTGACCGAGCCGAGATGCCCGCCTGGTCCTCCTCCCCGAGCAGAGCAGGGCGCCTCGGAGGGCGGATGCGCTCAGTTTGGGGGTCTCCATCCCCTCCCCCACCGCGGGAGCCACCCGTCCCGACCCTGGCTTCTCCCAGACGGACAGGAGGATAGATGAGCGCCTCCCCTGGACGCTCGTCCCCACAAGGGTCCCTCCTGCCTTCCCAGCCCCGGGGAGGGGCTGCCTGAGGACACGACCCCTCCGGCCTCCGCCCGTCTTGGGTCCTCCACCCAGCCACCCCCTCCGGCGGGCGGGGCCGCCGCGCCCAAGGGTCCCCGCTGCCGCCGGGAGGGGTCAGGGGCGCGGGGAGGTCTCGGAGGGAGCCCGGGGGCTGTAGGTAGAGGCGTGGAAAGAAGCGCAATAGCCCGCCCGGTCCTCTCCTAACGGGGGCGAGCCTACTGGGTCCCAGAGAGTGAGAAGGCGAAGGGGATGGGGAGCACGGGGAGGGGAGGGCTGGGGCTTTGAGGAGAGGGGTGGTCCCGGCTGCAGGCTGAGGCTCCCCTTGCTGCAAGTCTGGACACGTGGGTCCTTTTTTCCCCAACTCCTGCCCTTCGGAGCGGGCAGTGGGGGTGGCAGGGAGAGAAGCCACAGGAGGGGCTTTCGAGGGACCAGGGTTCAAGTGGAGCTGCGGCGGGCAGGGGAGAAGCGCTGTGCTAGCCCTGGCTGGAGGGGTGGGAGTCCAGAGCCCGGCCCAGCCTCCTGGCCTGGCCTATTTTTAGCTCAGAGCAGCCTGGCAGAGGCGGCGGCAGCCTAGGAGAGTGTGTGAGCAAGTGTGTGTCTCTCGGGGACAGAGCGTGAGCGGAGAGGATGGCCACCCGCGGTCACTACTACCGCCTGTTGGCCGGGGATTTGCTCATTTCTCCACCTCCTCCGTGTCCTCTGTCCATTTGCCTGGGCATCGCTCTCCCTAAAGAGCATCCATTCCCACAAGGCCAGTTCTCTACATCCCCCAACTGGCTGCCAGGGCCCTGCTGGCCTCCCCACGTGAGAAAACACTGACCGCTCAGGGGGGCTGACAGAGTGTTCTTTCTGTTGACCCAGCTGGTTGGTAGAACCAGGTCTGGATGGGAAGGCAAAGGGAAGGTACACACTCTCTCCCTATCACTTCAGCTTCCCAAGTGTGGGTAAGGGCTAGGTCCCTGGGCCCCCATCCTCTCTCTGGCCTGGGGGAGCCACATCTCCGGGTCTCTGAGGTGGCACAGGAGAGGGAGGGACTGTGGGAGACTTCCAAGCTCCTGGGGATGAGGAGGGTGGAGAGCCAGAGACATGGGCAGTGTTCGCTGGGGTCAGGAGAAAGGCTCTGGTGCCTGCAGACAGGGGACTGGCCCAGATAACCTCAGAGCCAGGAAGAAAGGGCCTGAAAGGGTGGAATGTGGGGGTTAGGGGGTGAGGGGTGAGGTTTCAAGCAGATATGCCTTCCATGGGTACAAACAGGTATCACTACCTGACACCTGCCTCCGTGTGGTGTGAGAGGAGGCAGGTGTCGGTGTGTTGGGAGTTGAGGGGGAGGCCAGCTGGACTGGGGGTGTAGTGTAGGGGCAGGGGAGAAGGAGGAGTCTATGCTGAGGAGCCAGAGGGAAAACGAGAGCTGGGCCTTGAGCCTGCTTTTCTCTGATCTTCAGAAAGCTGTCTGCCAAGCCTGAAATTTCACCTGCAGTCTAACCTCAGCCTCTCCTGCTGTGTTATCCAAGCATGCAGGCAAAACGCTCCGGGTTTGGCAGGAGATCCTATCCCAGGCTGACAAGGGGGGGCGGGGGGGGGGGACAAAAACAACAACAAAAAACTCCAAAGATCTGCATTAGGGAGCTCAGGGTGGCAGGGGGTGAGGGGTGCCGTTGGCATGCCAGGTTTGAAGGTAAATCAGAGGCTGAGGTCTTTGAGAGCTGAGGTCTGGGTGTGTGGAGGAGAGAAAAGAGCACACCCGGTTCAGGTGCCTGGGAGGTGCTTCGGAAAGTCTGACTCTGCTCCCTCACAATCCTCAAGGACACGGAGTGCTGAGAAATCTTGTCCAAGGCGAGGGAATTGGCTGAGGACAGGATCGCAGAACCCTGCTGCCCTTTCAGCCTCTCCCTCTCAGGTTCCCAGCTCCCACTCACGGGTCCCCGCCCTCTCCGGGTCTCTTTCCCAGCCCGCCCCCTCCCTCGGAGCAGAGCGAACTGGAGAGGAGCCCCCTCCTGGGAGAAGGATGGCCCCCACCCACACGCACGAAGCCCACATGCCTGCCTGCTGGCACCCCGCACACTTGCACCAGGAATAGCTAGAGACGGACTCAGCGAACGTGTGTGCGGTGTGCGCATATAGGCGGCGTGGCGCGCACACACATGGACTGGTAGTGCCAGGCACCTTGAAATCTCACCAGAACAGATGCCACCGGATTATCCTGCCTCAACATACCCCACTCTGTGCGTCCCATGTCTTCCTCTCAGACTGGCACCGCCCCTCCTGCTGTGGCTGATACCCAATTTGGGAGCACAGAGGAGGGCAGGCATCTCACCACCTTCACCCCCAACGGTAGTAATACGAAGTAATGGGCACACGGAGATGGGGATTGGATCATTCAGTGTCCTCACCCTCCTCCTCTTAGCTATGAATAATTTCAGCCCTTTTCCCAGTCCCATTAGCCTTCCCTCCCTCCTGCTGGACTCCAACCCCACCTTTACCCTCTCTTCCAAGCTCCTACACCCTCCAAAGAAACTGGGGGAAAAAACTACATGTCCCAAGAGTCCTTGAACCAACTTCAACAACAATCAACTTTATTGGCGGCATGACAAAAGAACAGCAACAGGGAAAGGGGCTCAGAGGCCCAGCAATCAGCTCTTACACGTTACTTTCTTAGAATGACACCTGGAACTCAGGATAAGCTTTTCCAGCTGGCCAGAGTCCTGCCTAGGATTCCTCATTTCTATTTCCCGGAACAAGGACTTTCACAGACACGTTTCCTAACAAACCAGAGAGGCAATCTGTCTGAGAACAGGGACAACATTAGGGAGTGAGGAGCATAGGCCAGGGAGATGCATATTCAGACCTGCCTGTTCTGTGTGGTCCCCAGGCTGGGTGGGGATTGGGGGGTGTGCTCTGCTGGTGCTGATCCACAAAGGGTTAATGTTCCCTTGGGGGGTGGGCTGGGAGACAGAGGGAGAGCCTGGCACCTCCTGGGTTATTTCTGATCATTGATCCAGGATGGACGGAAAGACAGTGGGCCAGAGATCGATGCACAGAGCAGATATAACTGCTGAGATGGATAGCCAGGGCCAGGACTGGGGCTGGGGGAGAGGGGGAGGGGTGGATTCAGAGACAGAAAAAGGAGAAGGGGATGCAGAAAGGGGGGTGGTCTCTTGGGTCCCCTAACAGAGAGGGATGAGCACAGGAAAGTCCACCTTGGGGCCGCGGGTCCTGTGTGACAGTATTGTTGGAGGTGTGCTAACTGGCTGACCTGATTACATTGCTGAGTGGTATTGGGTGGGGCTTTGATGCCTCCACATGTACTTGACCTCTTCCTTCAGATTCGGAGGCGTCGGCCCACCCCTGCTACACTTGTGCTGACCAGTGACCAGTCATCCCCAGGTAACCCCAGGAGTGGGTCCCTGAAGGGGGTGGGGGCTGCCGAAGACAGCGGGGTCCGGTGAGGGACGGTGGGTGCAGGATAGAAGGGCAGGTCTGAGAAGTCAGAGAGATCCTCACTCCTGGAGGGGAAAAGTGGTGGCTGGATTAGCAGGAGGATTTCCTCTGCTCTGGGAAGTGGAGCAACACTAGGAAGGGGAGGGAGACCACCTGGTTCCTAAGCCCTCAGGAATTGGGGTGGTCAACGGAGTGCTGGTTGCTTCGCAACAGCCTTCCAGGTTTCTCCAGCAACTGAGACACTGCTGCCCCCACCCCCAGAGGCTGTGACAGCTGTGAGGAGGAGGGACTGCCTCAAGCAGCCATCTCCACAGCCCCCAGAGGGGAAAGGGGAAGTTAGAAAAAGCAGCTGGGAGCAGCTGGCATTCTGGTCACCAGTGTCCCCATCAAGGTCTGGGGAGAGAGCAAGGTCTCGGGGAATGTCACGGGGAGCTTGACAGGGGAGTGGAAAAGAAGTGGACATGCTTATCAGCTAGCCGGGAATTCAGGATGCGAGTCTCTCCTTGCCTCCAACCAGTGAGAATGATTGCACCTTCCTGGCCCCTGCGCGGGATCCATTTGCTGTTCTTTTTCCAATGTTCCCTCATATGCAGCAAAGGGACCACAAATCCCGGCACCTCCGGGTCTGATGCAAGGATGCAGACACAGATAAACCCATAGGGTCAAGGACGGGATTAGATGCAGGGGTAAAGCCAGCCAGCAGAGCAGGAGGAAGCTGGGAGGAGAAGGCCTGGGCAGCCGCCAGGGCTAACTGCCTGGGGGCAGATGTGAGGGACACATCAGGAAGGAGGTGATTGCAGAGGCTCTTCCCCTTGGAAGTCAGCTCGTGGGGTCCCTCTGATTATCCCATCCTCATCACTTTCTCCTTTCTCTGTTTCCCTCAGAGATAGATGAAGACCGGATCCCCAATCCCCTTCTCAAGGTGAGCTGGCCCCTCCCACTCAGCCCAGCCCTGGGAACCCACAGACTCACTAAGAACACTCCATCTACAGAACCTTTGAGTTCCTCTGCCCTGCACCCCCAATTGTGCATGTGTACACATTTCCCCATCATGTCCCCCACGCCCTCCTGGCTCACCATTGTGGGGGCTGGAGAAGCTTTCTGAAGTCCACCCCCACCCCCAATTGCAAACCAAAAGCATGAGAAGGCAGAGGAGGCAGGTAAGAGGGCCGGCACCCACTGTGTTCTGTTGTTCACAGTCCACTTTGTCCATGTCTCCACGGCAACGGAAGAAGGTGACGAGGACCACACCTACAATGAAAGGTTTGGAAGATCCTTCCCAACCCTTTCCCCCCCCCCATCACCATTTATCCCCCATATATCCTCTTTCACCTCTGCCCACCCCCAATTCCTCTCATCTCTTTCTTCCCCTCTGAGCCAGAGATTGTGCAGTTGACCTAATGCCCCTTTGGAAAGAATCCTTGAGAAGTCATGAAGTCTGTCGTTATTATTGTGGGGTTGTTGCTAGAGAAACTGGAGTTGGCTTCCAGCTCTATTTCCCAACTAGCTGAGTGGCCTTCTTAACCTACTGAGCCCCAAATACAACCTCGCTATAGCAGTTAAGCAAAAGAAAATATGTGAGCTCACCCTGCAAAGGGTGTAATGCTCAATTTTTTTTCAATTACAGTTGACATTCAGTATTATTTTATACTAGAGGCCCGGTGCATGAAATTTGTGCATGGTGGGGGAGAGGGTCCCTCAGCCTGCAATGATGCCAGAATCCTGCGCCCCATCCAGCCTCTGGCCAGAGGCCCACCTGCCCACCTCCCTCTCTCCGAAGGCCAGGGCACGCAGGACACTAGGGCTCTTGGCCAGGGCAGCATCGCCAGCATCCAGCGCCCTAGCCACTATGGGTGCCGCCATCTTTATGAACGAGTGATGGTTAATTTATATATCACCCTTTTATTAGATAGGATTGGTTTCAGGTATAGCATAGTGATTAAGCATGTATATAATTTACAAAGTGATCCCCTGATAATTTCAATACCCACTTGGCACCATGCATAGCTATTACAATATTATTGACTATTTCCTATGTTGTATTTTACATCTCCGTGACTATATTGTACCTGCCAATTTGTACTTCCTTATCACTTCACCTTTTTCACCTGGCACCCCAATCCATTCCCATTTGGCAAGCATCACTTTATTCTCTGTATCTAAGAGTCTGTTTCTGTTTTGTTTGTCCAGTTATTTCTTTCAATTCCACATGTAAGAGGAATTCATATGATATTTGTCTTTATCTGGCTTATTTCATTTAGTATAATATCTTTTAGGTCCATCCATGTTGTCACAAATGATAAAATTTCATTCTTTTTTATGGCCATCTAATGTTCCATTGTGTATTTGTACTACATCTTTATCTAATCATCTATTACTGGGCACTTAAATTGCTTCCATATCTTGGCTAATATATAGATAGATAGATAAATAGATAGAGAGGTAATATTCAAAATAGACAGGATGCTGAACGTCACGATCGCTCAGGAGGAGGTTGCACATGCAGGTGGGAGGGGACTGCATACATGGTGAGGCCAGCCACGGATGGCACAGGCCCACAGAGGACGGGGCCTGCCAGCCACAGTGTGCCGGCTGTCCCGCCTCCACACGTGAGCTGCAGAGGAAACACCTTTTCTGACGGCTCACTGGCTAAACTCCCGTACACGACTCGCAGTGTTCTTGGTAACTTAGGTAATGATAATCCAAGAAGGAAATCTAGGGTTTTATCCACCTCATTCCTGGAAGAAAAAACAAAGGCCCACTGCTGTAGGGGCTTAGAAATGTCATATCCTGCCCTAGCTGGTTTGGCTCATTGGACAAAGCCTCAGCCTGCTGACCACAGGGTCCGAGTTCGATTCTGGTCAAGGGCATATACTTAGGTTGCAGGCTCCTGACCAAGGCCTAGATCAGGGCTCATGCAGGAGGCAACCAATTGAAGTGTCCCTCTCACATTGATGTTTCTCTCTGTCTTTCCCTCTTTCTTCTATGCTCTCTAAAAATCAATGGAAAAATATACTCAGGTGAGGAGAGAGAAAGAAAGAGGGAGAGAGGGAGGGAGGGAGGGAGGGAGAGAGAGAGAGAGAGAGAGAGAGAGAGAGAGAGAGAGAGAGAAATGTCATATCCTATGAAACAGACATCTTGAAAATGCCTAAAAAAAAGTTGTCATTTTTTTTGTGGTGAAGAGACTGAAGTCCATGTTGATGAAAACATCTTGGCAGCTGTGGCAGCTGGCATTGGCAGCAGCAGTGGGGTGATGGGGGTGGCACCTTCCCCTGATCAGCCCAGTTGCCTCCTGCAGAGGAGGCCAGACTGCAGCTTAGGCCCACTCCCCAGGGAGTGGGCCTAAGCTATGAGTAGGACATCCCCTGAGGACTCCCAGATTGGAGAGGGTTCAGGTAGGGCTCAGAGACCCTCCCCATGGTGCACAAATTTTGTGCACCAGGCCTCTAGTATATAATAAAAGAGTAATGTGCAAATTGACCCTAGTGGTGGAGCTACCAGGAATGACCAGTCACTATAACACACACTAACCACCAGGGGGCAGACGAACAACACAGGAGCTGCCCCCTGGTGGTCAGTGCACTTCCACAGTGGGAGAATCGCTCAGCCAGAAGCTAGCTCACAGGAGCCTCTCCTGCCTCCACAGCAGCACTAAGGATGTCCAACTGATGTCCAATCCTCTGGGGAGCAGGCCTAAGCTGGCAGGTGGACATCCCCCAAAGGGTCCCGGCTGCCAGAGGGATGTCCAACTGCCAGCTTAGGCCCAATCCCCCAGGCCTATGCCTGCAAGTGGACATCCCCCGAGGGGTCCCAGACTGAAAGAGGGCACAGGCTGGACTGAGGGACCCTCCCACCCCCACCCCCAAGTGCACAAATTTTTGTGCACCAGGCCTCTAGTTGTAAATAATGCTGCAATGAACAAAGGGGTGCATATATCTTTCAAATTAGTGTTTTGGATTTCTTCAGGTAAGTACCCAGAAATAAAATCTCTGGGTTATAGGCAGTTTCACATTTAATTTTTTGAGGACCCTTCATACTGTTTTCCACAACAGATGCACTATTTTGCATTCCCACCAACAGTGCAAGAAAGTTCTCTTTTCTCCACATCCTCAACAATACTCATTGTTGGTTGGTTTATTGGTGATAGCCATTCTGACAGATGTGAGGTGATATTTCATTGTGGTTTTAATTGGCATTTTTCTGATTACTAGTGACATTGAGCATCTTCTCATGTATCTATTGGCCATCTGTGTGTCCTCTTTGAAGAAATGTCTCTTCAAGTCCTCTGCCCATTTTTTTATTGAGTTGTTTGGGGGTTGTTTTTGGTGTTTAGTTGTATGAGTTCTTTGTAAATTTTGGATATTAACCCCTTATAGGATATATCATTGGCAAATATCTTAAAATTAGATATTTTTAGTGGGTTGTCTTTTCATTTTGTTGGTGGTTTCCTTCACTGTGCCAAAATTTTTTTAGTTTATAGTCCCATTTGTTTGTTTTTGCTTTTGTTTCTCTTGCCTAAGTAGATAGATTCGGGGGGGGGGGGGGGGGGGGGCGGGGATTCAGTGGGTTGTCTTTTCATTTTGTTGGTGGTTTCCTTCACTGTGCCAAAATTTTTTTAGTTTATAGTCCCATTTTTTTGTTTTTGCTTTTGTTTCTCTTGCCTAAGTAGATATATCGGGGGGGTGGGGGGGAATATTACTAAGAGTAATGTTAGAGAGTTTATGCTTGTGTTTTCTTTTAGTTATATGGTTTTGGGTTTTACATTTAAGTCTTTGATCTATTTTGAGTTTATTATTTTATATGGTGTAAGAAAGTGATCTAGTTTTGTACTGGGGTGGGGGTTGCGTGTATCTGTCCAGTTTTCCCAGCACCATTTATTGAATAGACTAATTTTACCCCACTATCTGTTCTTGCCCCCTTTGTCATATATTTATGACCATATAGGTTTTTTCTGGCCTCTATTCTGTTCCATTGGTCTGTGTGTCTCTTTTTATGCCAGCACTATGTTGTTCTGATTTCAAATATTTTTTTCTCTAACTTGAGTCTTTTCTCTGGCCCCCACGGGAGACCCAAGTATCCCAACAAGTTAGAGCTTTTTGTTCTTAAAGGCTCTTCCCTACACCTTACTTGCTATTTAAAAAAAAAAAAAAATTAATTGTTTTTAGAAAGAGAGGAAGGGCTAGGGAGAAAGAGAGAGTGAGAGAAACATCAATGTAAGAAATAAACATCGATCAGTTGCCTCCCATATGCACCCCTACTGGAAATCAAACTTACAACCAGGGTATGGGCACTGACCGACCTGGAATTGAACCAGCAGCCTTTCAGGACAACGCTCAACCAACTGAACCACGCCGGCCAGGGCACCTTTGTAGGAAATATGTCTTATTGTCTAGCTTCAGTCCCTCCTAATTGCCTAGCGAATGTCCCTCTATGTCCAGATCTCAGGGGATGGCAGTGTGTGGTAGCTGCTCAGTGTGGTTGTTGAAGCTGAATGTTCACAGAGGAGGCTCTGAGCAGTCATGTCCAATGTTCCCTCCTTTTCTCTGCACCCCCAGAGCTTCAGATGATGGTTGAACATCACCTGGGACAACAGCAACAGGGAGAGGAACCTGAGGGAGCCGCTGAGAGCACAGGGACCCAGGAGACCTGCCCACCTGAGACCGCAGACACACCAGCGGGGTCAAGGCTGGGCGCCTCTGGGGAAGCACAAAGTATGTTCCAAGAGGAGGCAAGCTTGTTGTGGGAAGGAGTCCAGCCGTAGCCAGAACTATCTTCAGAATATGGCTATGTCTGCACGTATTGGATGTATTTGCATCTCTTCACCTTTCCTTACCAAGTGACCCCAACCCCTCCCAACTGGCCTTCAGAGCTCCCTCTTGTGGCTGAATGTGGGGAGCTCACCATAATGAGAAGAGCACTCACAGGCTAGAATCCCAGCTCTGCCTCTTTCCCAGCCCAGAGGCCTCGAGAAACTTAACCTCCGTCTGTAAAATGATAATGATGGTGCCTGTTTCACTGGTAGTTTGTGAAAAATTAAATGAACCTGCCCAGAAGCTGGCACATACAAAGCATGCACTAAGTGGAAACTGCTGGGGGTACTGTTAATACATGTCCATAGTCCCTTCACCCAATGATTCCAGAAGTCAGAATTTTTCTAATTTTATGAAGGTGCTACAGTAGGTATACTGTATATTATGTAGTATCCCCAGCAGTGCACCCTGTCATCAAACACATTAATATTTCCGCAGTGAAATGAATGGTCCTGCTAATTGGGCTAAGTCGACTATAATAGCTTCATATCAGTTCAGTTCAGATTTCGCCACACGTGGAGATTGTACCCAAATTTGAAAACCTTTTTTTGGATGGTTTTTTTTCCTTATCTTTTTTATTAAAAATATTTTTAAACATAATGATTCTTTAGTAGAAATTGTAATCAGAGAAACCCCTGCTGTTCTGCCTGATTGCCTGGGTTTATTATTTGGTCTTACCTCCTCTCGGGTCCTTGGAGTATGGGGTGGGAGAGCACTGCCCCCTCTACCAGCCCTCATGAATACCCCGTCTCCCCCCACCCTCACTTTCCCTCCTTAGAGCTTGCAGAATCCACCCCAAACACTCAGGAGAGGGGCAGTGAGAAACCCAGCACAGACGAACTCTCGACCCATATACCACCACCGGGGTCCCAGGGAGCCAACTCGGTAAGCTGCCCATGCTGGGCTTTGGGTCTACAGGAGAGCAGCTGTATGGGTAAAGGCGAGGGCTGAGATCTGGACTCGGGGAAGTGGGAACAGAGCACCAGCGTTGGTCCCTGAAGAGCTATTCTGCAGGGCAAGAGGGTGGACAAATGAGAAGCTGCAGCAGAAGGGGCTGAGGTTAGACTCGAGTTAGGACTTCCAGCTCCTGGAACAGGTGATGGAAATAGGCCAGGGGTTTTCCGACAAAGGGCACGTGGAGCCCTCAGCTGTCCAGGCTAATGAGCAGTGGTCCCGCCTGGAGTGGAGGCATTGACGGAATGACCGCGTGAGCTTCGAGGTGACAGTCCTCCCTCCCCTGCGTAGACTGGACAAGGGGCAGGAGCTGGTGTCAGACATCAGAAATTAGATACTTGACTAATGGGGTGGTTGGCAGACCAGCTCGGGAGGCAGCACAGGCCTGTGGCCTCTCACTCACCCTCTCTTTCTATCCTCTCTCCCCACAGCAGGTCTGAGAGGGAAGGAGAGATCCTGGGCACAAGCCTGCAGCTGGGAGTGCATGGACACTGGATGTGTTTCTTATTTCTTCACTTTGGGGGAAATCTCTTGTTTTTAAAAAGTGATAAATTTGGTGTTAGACCCTTGGTATTTTCTTTCTTCCCCAACTTGGAGAATCTTTCCTCGCTCCCCTCTGGTCCCGCCCTCTCTACAGCCCCCTACCCTGTGCCTGGTTGCAAGGGGGCAGAAGACTTCAGAAGGGGGTTCTTCTCCATCCCTGCCTTACTTTCTGCGGGAAGAGAAGCGGGGGGGAGGGAGGGGGGGAGGGCACATAGATGGGAGGACTAAATTCCAGGGTACCAAGAGGAAAGAAATGCCCCCGTTTCTCTTTTCCTCTTGAAGAAAAGATAGCGCTGCCAGGCGGGGCTGCCCTGCAGCTGCGAACCTTGGAGCTCTGAGTCTAACTGTGACTTTGTGTGAGCACCATCTGCTGGACAAAACGGAGAACTGCAGCCTGGCGCGGCCCATGGGAAAGAGGGGGTGGTGTGTTGTGCGGTGCCTCCTCGCTTGCCCCCCAAGCTTCGGTGATTCTGAAACTTCCACCTGTGAGGAGACCACCACCCCTATCCCAACCTATGGGCAAAGGCGTATTGAGAATACAGTGACTATTAAGTAAGACGCCCGTGCTGGGAACTGGGAAGGTCACCCTGCCCCTTCTCCTAGGCACCAAGGGGCCGGGTAAAAGAGAAAAACTGAGCATAAGGGAAGAAACTTCCTCAGACCCCAAAGCCAGGCCTCTCCTGCCCACTGCTTTTGATTTTTCCAGGTAGTGGAGGGGGAAAGGAAGGAAGGGAGGGAGGGAGGGAGGTAAGTAGGAAGGGAGGAAGGGAGGGAAGATTTGTCCCTCCTTAAGGAGCACTTAAATGGAGAGAAAAAGAACCTCAGATGTGTAAGGTCCCACTTCTGCCCTCCCTACTGTGTGCCCTCAGGCAACATCGCACCTTTCTGGCCCTCAGCTTGCCAATATATATTGTATATCAGGGAGAGCACCGTTCACACCGGGATTTGATCAAGCTTAAAGGGACAGTGTACCTGGCCCTCAGCTTGCCCACTATATACATATATATATATATATCAGGGAGAGCACCGTTCACACCGGGATTTGATCAAGCTTAAAGGGACAGTGTACCTGATGATGCGTGGTGGACTTCCACCCAGAGAACACCAAACACAGCCAAGCCTGGTCTCCCTTCTTTATTGATCTCTGACTATCGATATATAGCAAGGTTCTGGGGAGACCGAGGGCAGGGGTGAGTCACATGCATCTCTGCCCTACTCGGGATGGGTAAGGGGGGCAGGTGGCAGGGTGGCAGGTCTAAGAGACCATGGATATGGACTTCACATGAACAGGGCCCACTGTACAAATGCATCGTTGATATTTACGAGAAAGAAGGAGGGCAGTCACCTGGACTTGGGCCTTTCCTGGGACAAGGTGTGGCGAGAAGAGCCTGAGGAGAGGAAGGGACGGGGCCCTGGTGGGCTCTCTTCAGAGGGCAGTACCCTGAGCCCCTCCCCATCTGCCTTCCTCCCACCCCTCCCCACTGTCACAGAGGAGGGGCCTCTTGGTGCCCGCAGCTGGGCCAGTGCTGGAATGGAGAAGGGGAGGGATCCTCAGTTGGTAACACAGTATTGCTGGATTATACCTCACCCCCTTCATGCACCCTTGACCCTGACCCAGCCGGTCTCTCCTGCCTGTGCTCGTAAGATACGTCCTGAAGGTGCTTTGCTGAGGAGACTCAACGCACGTTACAGACATTGGTCGGATGGGAGCCTCCAGCCCAGGGAGAGGAAGGAGGCAAAGGGCTCAGGCATCAGCCAGGGCAGTTCCATGTCCCAGGGCCTAGACCAGCCCCAAGCTCTTAAGGACCCCAGGAAAGACCTGCTCTCAGCCCCTGGTCCTCTTCTCCAGCTGCCATTACAGAATGGGAGAGAGGGAAGACTGCAAGGGGATGGGGCTGAAGCAGTGCAGGTCCCCCCCCTTCCCAGGCCCTGAAAAGATACCCTGCCCTGAAGGAGCCCACTCCCCTCCCCATGCATGGGGCTCTGAAACCCCCAGCTTTCTATCCCATTCCAGCCCCTCCCAGGGGAGGAAAAGAGGACCCAGACCTTCCAGCTAAGATCTGGGGTGGGGGGCTGAGGGAACCCCCAAAATGTATTGCTTAGAAACTTGGAGGCAAAAAAGGACGGGGGAGGGTCAAGGGGGCTGGCATCTCTGACCCTCCCCCCAAGCCCTGGGAAGCCTGCAAGAAGCTCCCCTTTCCCAGACATCCCATCTGGCCACGGGGGAGTCCAGAGGCAGGGGGATGGGCGCAGGGACCGTTGGGAGCCTGAAGTTCCCCAGGCTTGCTGCTGGGAGATTGAAGTATGGCCCAATGGGCGTCGGGTGGGGAGGGGCCTTTGCCCAACCCCACCATCTCTGGCGTGTGGCCTTCCAGTGGGTAGTCTCTTCTTCAACCTCCATGCTCCCTTGGAGCAGATGGGGGAGCTAGTCCCGATGGATGGTGCTGATGACATCTAACACTGGGACTCAATGAGGACCTGGGGAAAGAGGGGGACGTTTCAGTGCCTAGACCTTTGCCTTTATTTCCAGCCTGACTTACCTTCTCCAAGTCCCGCCCAGATCCCCACTCGGCCCCACAAAGAATGTAAAAAAAAAAAAAAAAATGCCTCGCAGAAGGGTACTCAGCCAAGGTGGGAGCAGGAGCTGCGATCAAAGTCATGCCAACCGACCTCACAGAGCCTGTGCCCTGGCTGGTTCCTTTTCCCGAGCCCTCACAAAGATGCTACCATGAATGGCTCTAGCCTGGCTCAGGCCCCACCCTGCTCTGAAGAGCTACCTGCTTTCCAAATGCAGGGGCTGGGACAGAAGAGCTGGCAGGATTTCCTTGCTTCACATTCACGCCCTGACTCAGTTCTATGTGTTCACTCCACCACTTTCCTGCCTGGAAGGAGGGAGGGAGAACCTCACATCCATTGAACCCCAGAGATGACTCTTCCAAATGCCGTGCTGGACACCCAGCTCTCCCTGCTCCCCGCCCAACATCAAGACGCTCCACCATGACAGGCTCACCTGGGCCAGCCCCAGGCTAGTCCAGATTCCCGTTCTGGTTGTGTTCCTCTTGGGCAGGGGAGGGTGGGGCCTCCTCCTCACAGGGGGACAGCTCGTCGATGGACATCTGGTTGGTGATGCCTGCAGACCAGACCAAGAAGTAGTTTTCCCCAGAACCAAGGAGTAGGTGGAGAAAAGTAAGAGATTCTTATGCATCTTCCTACCTTCAGCCCCTGGCCGCTCTTATGGAAAGCTAATCACAATCCCAACTCCCACATAAAGGAAAAGACTGCCCAGCCAGGGCCATCACGTGGCCCTAATCTACAGAAGCACCACTCACAGGCTGCGATGTGCATGGGGCCCCTTGGTTGTGGAATATGGTTGGCCCCGTTCTCTCTCCAGTTCTCACTCTAGAACAGGCCAACCAGCTGGTCAGTCTTTCCTGGGATCTAACTTTAGTCTGATCAACTCTATTCCCAACTCTAGGAGGCAGCGGCTGCTCCAGGGGCCTGAGGAAAATGGACCTGCTACTACCCCATTAGCCACCTCCTCCCATGGCTTCATGCCAGCAACGGTACCCACCGCTTGCTGCCTGCTCCTTCCATTTCTGCTTGTTCTCCTGAATGTATTTGGTCCAGGTGGAGCGGAAGCTGATCACATCAGGGTTAGGGTCTCCTACTTCCACATCCAGGGAAGGCTGGCGCCACTGAAAGCTGGAAGCAGCCCCGCCACCAACTTCAGAGGTGGGACCCAGCCCAGTCCGGAACCACCTTCCCAGCCCTCCAAGTGGAGGGGATGGAAGGCCAGTAGGAGGCTTAGGGGGCCTCCTTCTCCTCTTCCCTCTTCTAGGTACCTTCCAAGTCCCTGTCCCCCTCCTCCCAGATTCCACCCCTCCCTCTCCACACCTTCCTTCTTACTAGAAGGAAAATAAAAACAAGATTAGCAGAAAGGCAATAAACAGAGCTAATGGAAGAGACAAAAATATGGTGGAGGGAATACAGGTGTGGGCACACAGTACAGGAGCTCTCCTGTTGGGAGTAGCCTGCTCCTCCGCCACCCCTCCCATGGCTGTGCCTCCTCCCTAGGGGTCTGCCCTCTGTGAGTCTGACTCCCTTCTCCCAGAACCAGAAGGCCGGGCTACCCTAGTCATCCTCACCTGGGCTGGTTTTTAGACTTGGAGTCCTCATCCACCACGGGCTGGACACTCTTCTCAGCCACGTCAGTCAGCACGGAGAATGTGGGCTCCACAATGAAGTCGATGAAACCTGCAGTGCAGAGGGTAACACCATGACGATGTCTTACCTGGAGGCCTGGGGAGTGGGAATGGCCAGCATGGCTGCGACCCCTCTGCATGTAAAACAGAGCAACCAATGAAGGCAGCCTCTGGAATGATGCATGTGTGACTTCAGAGAGCTCCTCCCCACCATTGCATGCCCCTGGCCTTCCACCCAGGACCCCGTGCCCTACACAGCAGGCTTGCCTCTATAGGAAGAATGGCTTTGAGGTTGGGGACTTGGGGAAGTCCTGGCCCAGGCCCCACACAGTGTTCTTTCCCCTTTGCAATCTCCTCCCCGTGAGAAAGGATACTCACCAATCTGGGACTGTGCCACGAGAGTGGAAGTGCGATCACACAGCGGAGAGAAGGGCAGCCCCAGCTCCGCCTCCTTGTCACCCTGGGGGAGAAGACCGGAGGGAAAGCTGGAGAGGGTACCTCAGACTACCAGATCCAGGGGGAAGCTGGGTGGGTAGGAGGTTGTTGTGGGAGAAAAGAAATTTCCGTGCCTATGACCTGGAAACGAGTGATGGGCAAATGGGATGCACCTCTCATCAACCACTGTTCAGCTCCTAGGACCATGACAGCTTATCCCACAGGATTGGGGTCAGGTCAGGAGCCACAGGTTGCTAAGTGAAGGTCTGGAGTAGGAGTATGGAAAACCATGTGAGAGAAGGCCCATGGGCAGGGGGTGGGCAAAGATGCCGTGGTACCTGGCGGAAGAATTCTTCCATGAGAGCCTTGGTCCAGCGGCTGTGA